TAATTCCTCCAGAAATATCTGACAGAGCAGGAATTGCAGTAGTAGCTTCTAGTGTCTGAAACACAAAGAACCATTAATATCAAGAGCTGCTCTTCTTAAGATGACAAGACACCAGCATTTCCAGCTTATCTGACAGAACAGCACTGCAGAGAAATTATCACTTCATCTTCAGTAAAGGATGGAAATACTTACAGTAGTAGCATCCCCAGAATAAAACTGCAAAAAGAGAAGGCAGAAAACATGAGTTTGTTCATCTTTTACTGTCATTTCACTTTATCATAAAGCAGCGTAAAAAAACTACTCACATCTGCATCTTCTGTAACCTAGAGTGGAAGACAAGTGACAATGGAGTTAGATAATCAGTGCTCACAGAAAAGTTCAATTTATAAAGTGCCCAAAAGCCTTTATGAATAGTTTTCTATTCACATGGTAAAGAGGCAAGAAGATAGTCAAGATAAATTTCTGTACTTACGATGGTAACAAATGTGACGAACTGCAGAGAAGAGAAAGTGAGACTGAAGTTAGTTACATTACCTAATATACTGTACACCTGTCATCTCTCTGTTCTTATGTGTCAACACCCTCTGGATAGAAAAGTCTCACAAGATTTCCTTTGTTCACAGAGATTTCCAGCATATCTCCAGCATGTAACAACTCTGATCAATAATCTTCACTATCTCCAGTGTATCCCAGCTCTGTTCAATCCCCCTCTCTATCTCCAGTGTATCCCACCTCTGTTCAATCCCCCTCTCTATCTTTAGAGTATCCCAGCTCTGTTCAATCCCCCTCATTATCTCCAGTGTATCCCAGTTCTGTTCAATCCCCCTCTCTATATCCAGTATATCCCAGTTCTGTTTAATCCCCCTCACTATCTCCAGTGTATCCCAATTCTGATCACCACCTCTCAATAGTTCCAGTCATCACCAGCTGTGGAAGAGCTCCTGAGATTTCATCACTAAGCTTGCTGTTAGTGTCCATTAGGCCAGGAATCTGGGCCTGTTCCCTGGAGTTTGCTCCAGCGCTGCAGGGATCATAGGGGGCTTTACATGAGTAGCAATATGGCGGACATTCACTAATGATGCAGACAGATGGCTCAGTGCACTGATTCACATCTCATCTGGAATGAAAACCCCATGACCCTGCAGCTCTTCAGCACCAGAGGTAGACCATCCCAGATCAACAGCGATCCAGAAGTTTACTCACCACATTTCCTTCTCCCTGCAAGGAAAGAGGACAAGAAGAAAGGACTGAGAGGAGGTCAGCTAGAGAAATC